TTTCCACACTTTTTAGGATATTCAAGATCTTTTAATCTTTTCTTTTTCTTTTTTTCTTCCATTTCTGTAGAGATAGCACATAGGGAGTTAAGCACCATAATAATAATATTCGCGATCTTAAAATTTATTATTCGTCGATGAATGTTAAAATCACTTTCAACTGACAAGTTTCTTTGAAAAGTCCCAGACAATTATTGAGCGATAACTCAAGCTGCAACCAATTACATTGAGCCGTGATACAGAACAGTTTGAAATGACTGCGTTTTGAAGGCTAGTCTCCAACGAAAAGTTTTTCGGAAGTTTCTAAAGGTGTTTCATTTGCGTGGAAGAACTTCACTAAAAGATGCTAATGTAAACTGCACCTGGTTAAACGAAAATCGTAAAGCCGAAGATAGTGATGGAAAAATACTTGGCCACTAGCAGCAATCGTTATTGTGCAAAGCGGTCGATTTGCTGAGTAACAAAATGATAAAATTAAAAATAAAAGAGAAAGGAAAGAAATAAAAGATGTTTAATGCCGAATTAACTATTCATTACATCAGTGAAAATAATGACTTTTACGATCTAGTCACACTATTCTATTATTGATAGCATTCAGAGTTGAAAACAGCTGGGGAATCATCGTGGGTGGTTGACAGCTCGACATCATTTGGAACTCGCACTTTCGTGCCGGCGCCTTTAAGGTAACCCATATCTATCTATAGATTTCCGCTGAGCTTTAATGTTATATGAAAAAAACAAATCTTTGAATTGTTCTAAAAGTTAAGAAGTCGCTAGACTTATAATTAACACTTCGCCTAATAACTGGTTTGCCTCCGCACTTGATTAATAACAGCGGCGGGTTTCTTACTTCTACACCTTTTAAAGTTTGACGATGTTGTTGATGCGGACGTTCCCTTCTACGAAAGGAGCCTTAACTTTGAAAATAAAGCAAAATGAAAAAGGCCCGACGGCTTTGTTTCGAAGGAGGTATTCTACAGCCTTGCCGCTAATCTTCAGTTAATTCTGTCACAAAAAGCGCATAAACGAACCCAAAATGTTCCGCAACCCTTCCTGACCATGAAATTCACTTTGACCAAGAAAGAGACGAAAAATCTTTTCTGATCGCGACATCTTGAAAATATCCTCATAGAAAGTCAGCAACAATGTTCTTTGACAATAGCCTGTGACAACTTGAAATACAAGGAAGTATATAAGTCAGACGCGAAAACCCTTCACGGAGTTATAATCTTTCGGGAAGCAACAAAAACCTTCCAGGAGAAGCACTTGAGTTTGTACATTAAATAGTGCGATTTATTTGAACTCAGAAATTTCCGTCAGCAGCATTGTTAGTATAGCCTCCTTCAAAGTCTTCTAACAGTAAGATGCTGTAAAGTGAGAGAATAGCGTGATCCAGCCAGCCGAGAGGACCTCAACTGCCGTTTAGCCAAAGTCCTTACTCGAGGGTCTCAATGGGGTGATGGCTTTTACGGCTATCGGTTAAAATTTTGGCTAATTTCCGGCTAACGGTTAACACCTTTCCATTGTTTCCACCAGATATATTTTTTACGGTTAACTTTTTTTACGACTAACGGTTCAAATTTGTCAATTTTTACGTCTAACGGCTAAATATTTTGGCCGTTTTACGGCTAACGGTTAACCCCATTGGGACCCTCTTACTCGTTCGTCATGTTACTCATAGTTGGTTCCACCTCATTAACTTTCTTTGCCTTTGCAAAATATCTATCTAAGGTTACTCTGTTTAAGCAGCGAAGTAAATATTTTGCGCGTTTTTGGATGACTGAACTGACATCTGGTAAATATAATACTTAATACTTATATAGCGCCGATATCAATATTGCTATTTTCATTAGCAAAATAAGGCAAGCTGGACAACTTGATTAAAATCCCGTTATCAAATAAAATATGGCACATTTTGTGAAGAGTGCCGACTGAGAAAGTGGTTAATATTCTCCGAGCTGAGCTGGTAAAGCATTTCTGTACAGCTGGACACATCTTGGATCGTCAAAGGTAATTATATATACCAGAATTTCTCATGCACTGGAGCTTGTGTCAGCAAGATGAAGACTACAGCACTTTGTGTTTTTGCTCTGTTCCTTTCTTCGATGTTAGTTGAGGGTAGCATGGATCTTAAGATCTGTCGTCAGAAGGGTTGCAAGGTAAAAAAATACATGAATAAGTAGAAATCTTTTTCGTTTTCAATCCATCTAAAATGTTTCATTTTCTTTTCGATAAAAGGATTTTAAACGGATCGCTATATTGATTTTAGTTAAATTGTCTAGGTGGTCCGACTAGGAATGACAATTATTTTTCCCCTTTTTAAAAGGCGAATGTCCAGCGAGGAATACTTATTAGTGAGGGTAGAAATACCTTACGTATGTATTTAGTCATGTCAAAATGAGCTGGAATCTTTCAATTATGTTTTTCTCTTTATCATTTCATTCATCTCATTGTTGAGTGATCCGAGTTGTTCAACTCAGTAATTTTTTTTGCGCTGAAAGCCGTTTTAAACTCTTTTAGAAAAAAGCTACGGGAAGTTTTAGAGATGAAGAAGGGGCTAGAAATCTAGAAATGATGAAGATGAACATCCGTAGACGCTTGGAGGAGGTAAGTACAGGTTTTTAATCTATCTTCCGTTCGGTTTGTCTGGTTAAGTCAATATCCAAATAGTTGAATTGGAGGAAGAAGTCATTCGGTTCTTTTCATGCATTTTACTCCCACTATTTGTCAGAGCTTAACGGTCTTGTTTTTTATTCCTTTTATTGCAATAAATTTGATGGGAAATTTAAGATTATGTTTGTTGAATGTTTATAGGCAAAACGTGAGCAACAGTACCGGAGAAACATTTGCTTACAGGCTCGCGAGCTGGGATGTGAAACGGAACGAAATAAATAGGTTCACTGCAGTGAAGACTACACAGCTAACTTGAAGTTAAAGCATAATTTCATTCCTAAATAACGAAATTGAGATGTAGATGCTTTAGCCGCTATCATCAATATTATATTCTGTGAAAATCTATAAATTGTTTGAATTCAATAAAGGCTGTGGTCCATATGGTGAATATGTACGATTCGCTCTATTTGTTGTTGAGCCCTAACATTTTAAGTGGCCCGCCAGGGTAGTGTGAGGACTCTTTAACCCTTTAACTCCCATGACTGACCACGACACATTTTCTCCTTACGATTTCAATACAATATCAAACAAACAACTGATGAGAATAAGGAAAAATATCATCAAGTGGATGATAAGTTGATCCAATACCAATTACCATCATAAAAAAATTGTATGATAGACAGAAAGGAGAATTACATGTAAAATATTTAGAGTGAAAGGGTTTTTCTCAAAGCCTTTATATTGATGTTTAGTTAAACACGAGTTAATGCCCCTGTAATTCGCAGTAAATTTTTATTCACAATGTACTATGAGCCCGTCGCATCCGCAAGTAAACATCAGGGATCTTTCCGCTTGCACAGCTGCTGCAGTCATTTTTGTTTCAGCATAGAAGAAAGGCATGATATTAGTCCTTAATTTAAAGAATCGTGGAACAGCAACACATCCCTATGAGTTTGAGCTACAGAGCTATGCATATACGAAGAATGTAATCAGGCTGGGATAAGCTCAAACTATTTTACATAACCTCTTTCCCTGCAGCCGGTAGTCTTTTTGGCATACTCAAATGTTGGTGGTTTCGATGGATGTCGGGCGTCTTTGTGGAAACATGCCAAGACGGATGGCTGACAGGCATCAGAACTGTCAACATCTAACCATAAAGTGACATTTATATCATCACCTGCCGCGGAGAATTTCACGATTAAGATCGAACGAACGAACTGGGAATCGAGACAATCGCCAAAAGAAACCAGACAAAAACTTTATGGCTGGAGGAAATATACGGCAGCGGCAAAGTCCCCCTCCCTGTGTTTACTGTGGTTTAAACAGTCATCGTAGCAGTGACTGTACCAAGGTTTTAGAAATTGTCAGTAGACGGGAATATTTAGCAAGAAACAAGTTATGTTATAACTGCGCAAGGTCTGGGCATCTAGCTTCCAAATGTAAAGGACGAGGGTGTGGCAAATGTAATGGAAGATACCATACCTCTGTATGTGGCAAGATGAAGACGACACTCCCGCCCACCCACAAGGGTACCCCTGAGTCATCGGGTCGGTCTGACAGGTATTATGGTGCAATGGATTCTCAAAACATGTGTACTTTGCATGCAACTGTAATTGCTAAAGTTGGAGGAGTACAAGCTCGAATCATGTTGGACAGTGGAGCTGGAAGCTCCTACATCAGCTCAAGTTTGCTTACAGAACTGAACCTGAAGCCATACCGAACTAAAAGGAGGGTCATAGAACAAATGTATGGGACAGTGGAAAAACTTGTTGAGATATACAAGGTCCGCGTTGAATCAAACGCCTTCAAAGGGCTTTGATTTTGAGCTACATTGCATAAATGCAGAGAAACCCGTGTTAACTCACCTCCCTAACCCAAGTATCTCGGAGTTAAAGAAGGCCAACTACCGCATAGGACACAACACTTCAGTGAAGAAATGGTGATGGAAGATAACTTGCCAGTCCATGTGATCATTGGTGCCGCAGATATCCAGCGCATCAAAACAACTAAACCAGTTGTCCTAGAAGTAGATCCAGACATTGATCCTGGTGCAGAGTACACCATGCTGGGTTGGGTGATCACAGGAAAGTTAACACCGTTCAGTACGGAGACCGAAAAGGATTTCTTCCTAGCTTCAAGCCAAGGTGAATTCGAGCAGATGTGTTCGCAGGAGCTCCTAGGACTGACTGATAAAGCTGACGTGCAGCAGTTGTTCCATGAAGATTTCAAAGATCATTTACAACGTTTGGATGATGGAACATATTCCACAAGGTTGCCATGGAAATCAGATCACCCCCCCTCTGCCTTCAAACAAACAACTGACTATTGGCAGGCTAAGAAGTACAACACAGAAACTAGAGAGGATGCAGCGACTTAAAGAGTACCATATGGTTATGACAGAGCAATTAGCAGAAGGAATCTTGGAAGAGGTGCCCGAAACACCTACGGGGGAGGTCATCCGTTATATTCCTCATCAACCAGTGATCCGAGACCAGGCCGAATCCACAAATGTGAGGATAGTTTATGATTGTTCAGCTAAGACACATTGTCAAGTACCTTCCTTGAACGACTGTTTGGAAGTAGGACCCCCTTTACAACCCATGTTATTTGACATCCTTCTTCGAAATCGTCTGAAGATGTTGTGTATCACAGGAGATATTCAAAAGGCCTTTCTTCAAATTAAAGTGGACCCAAGAGATAGAGATGCTCTTCGCCTTCTGTGGTATGAGAACCTCGACTCAAGAACGGTGAGGCAGTATCGTTTCACCAGAGTGATTTTCGGGTCAGGACCAGGCTCATATATTCTTGGGGCCACACTTCAAAAACATGTGAGCCAATATGCTGATAAGTACCCCAGATTGCTGATGAGTTGCTAAAAAACACCTATGTGGACGATGTTCAATCAGGCGGTGATTGTGTAGAAGAGCTGATCAGTTTCAAAAAGGAGGCCACGCGAATAATGGAAGAAGGAGGGTTTCACCTGCACAAGTGGCACGGCAACATTCCAGAGTTAGAAGAACCACAGCGAATTGATGATGAAACCCTACTATCACAAGCAAGCTCGACTTATGCAAAGTTAGTGGTTGGAACCCATTCCCAAGAAACAAAGATACTTGGAGTACCTTGGAACAAGGCAGAAGACACAGTTTCAGTTGGTTTCATAAAGTCATTGGGAACAATGAGTGACGGTCCCCTTACCAAGAGAAAGATGTTATCAGCCATTAATGGTGTTTATGACTTGTTGGGACTTGCAGCACCAGTGATCATCACGGGAAAGATCCTGTACAGTGAGGTTTGCTTAAGGAAACTGAGGTGGGACCAAGTGGTAACAGACGAGATACAAAGATCTAGGAACAACTGGCTGAAGGGAATGGAAAAGTGTCCTTCAATAAGTGTTCCGCGCAGGGTTGTGAGTAAAGATGTTAGAAGAATTGACCTTCATGGTTTTGCTGATGCAAGCAAGCTAGCAGTTTCAGCAGCAGTTTACGCACTTGTATTTCATCATGTTGCTCCAGTTCACCAGAGCCTGCTTGTTGCGAAGTCAAGAATAGCACCAAAACAACTGTCAATCCCACGGTTGGAGCTTATTGCAGCACACACCTTGAGCAAATTGATGAATCATGTCAAGGAAGTAATGGAAGGTCAGCTAGTTGAAGAGTATCACTGCTGGGTCGATAGTATTACAGTGCTCTACTGGATTAAAGGTCATGGGACGTGGTGACAGTTTGTTCGAAACCGTACTGAAGTGATACAAGACAAGCAATACCTGAAGTGGCACCATTTCCCTACGAACGACAATCCCAGTGACCAAGGAAGTAGAGGCACAGAGCCCTGTAAGATGGGAGAGCTTTGGTTTAAAGGACCAGACTGGCTAAGTTGTCCGGGAAAATGGCCACAGTAACCTGAGGTGTCGGAAACCGTAGAAACAGCAAAAGAGAGTGTGAAGCCTAAGTGCGAGAAACAGCTTCTTGCCAAAGAAGAAGAGAAAAATCCAATCGTGGATCAGCATCTTAACAAATATGCATCCCCATCTTAGAGGAGGATCTTGAGAAGATCGGAGACGAAGAAGGAACCAGACGAATGAGGTTTCTGCAGAAAAGCAAAGAGCATCTTCGAAAGAGATTCGTGAAGGAGTATGTGCACGCCCTTGAAGAAAGACAGCAGCCGCCCACCGGTAACATTGCCGAAATCCCGAACACAGGAGCGCCGGTGTTGCTTAAAGATGAAACCAAGAATAGAGCACTGTGGAAGCTTGCACGAGTGGTAGGAAAGGTCACGGGTAAGGATGGAACAGTCCGAGGATTGAAGCTTAAACAAGGGAATGGTTATATCGCGGAGCGCCCCTTGCAACTTTTATGTAAACTAGAAATTGGAGTAGAGCATCCTGACTGCCAGCTAAACCCAGAAGCAGAAGTGTTCATACCAAGATTGAGACCAAGTAGAAGATCCGAGGAGATCGCAAACGAGAGAATCAAGGACATTATTTCACAAGAAGTTTAACACTTAAATGGGGGGAGGATGTCGTGACTGTTTTTTTTTTGGGAGTTGCGTGACTTTTGTTATTGACAACCTCGTTTTGAAATTATGTGAGCCTCGGTTCAAATTACGTACCTCGTGGAAAATATGCATCGATGACGTTTTGAGAGAGGAGAGATTTTGAGCTGTATACAACATTTTGTGAGGATTAAACCTTTAATTCGAGAAACTAAAGTGAGTTATTTGGTGTCTCTGGAAAACGGAAATTTGGTTCCCACAAAGCGTCGACAAAGCTGCGCGAGTGCAGAAACGAGCGGCTTTATCCGGACAGGCTTACGTCGACCGCCACCTAGAGACACGCGGTTAACAATACTCACGAGCAAGAAGTTAAGATAAAACTTATTAACTTTTACTATTTTTATCATCCAATTACAGGTCGGAGCCATTCCTGTATTTAGTCGCTAGTCAAAGTACAGGCATCCGCCATGATTACCTGGTTGTTTCTATTTTTACGTCCACTGACCCCTGGAAGTGCTGACCCGGAACGCCCGTTGGAATGAAACGAAATACATGCAGCCCACCAAAGTACGAAATGGATACTATCTGAGGCTAATTTTCACCTGAATTCATCATCATTCATGTTAATAATATAAAACTGTTTCACTTGAGGATTTCTGGCGGCGGAAGAGTTGTTTTTTTTCCTTGTATTCTATGCAGTTGCCTGGATTTCGCCGTAGTTTGGAGAAATGAGTGCTGTCACGCGATAACATTTCCAAGATTCAACTCACCTCAGCAGATGGTAAATGTATATTATTTTCTTTTTCTACCTATTTTTTTAATTTACTATTTATTTATCATCTTCCTTTCTCTTTTAATACCTTATAATTCTATTTAGGATGGTATTTGAGCGCCTAGCAAGGTTTAAAATGACATTTACCACGCTATTCATGGATGTCTTGGCAACAGAGAAGTGTTTCGCCGAAGTAGCTACATAACGGTAAACACTGCAACTTTGAACGCTTCGTACAAGGTCAATATACTTTGGCCAAAAGATGTTTTTCCAGAAACGTAATGAATATCCTTCTACTTTCTGATTCATCACTATGATTGCTTTCAACAGCGTTGGATTTTGTAGAAATAGTTATTTAAAATCATCTCCAACGCTCTATCCAATTTGATATGCAATATTGGAAAATTTATTTTTCATTCGCTTGTGCAGTTTTTCGATATTTATCGAATGATAGTGCATTAAAAGGCCTTTTTCTTCATAACTGCATAGTTTTCTCATTATTTTGTGTTGCGATAGGGATTTTTGAACCGGTTTTTGAAAGGGCATATATTGGGACAGATTTTTCTACAATCAGACGTTACAAGTTCGCGGCTCGATATTTTTGGTTTAAAGCGAAACTGAAGCAAAAGAAATTCATTTTTAAATAGTTTTGGTAACCTCTACTTGGGAGATAAAAATCGGCCGATTTTAATTTTTAGCCAGAAATCATCGGTCGTTTCTTAGGCGCAGGGCCCCTTAAAAACTCCTGTATCCCCACTTTCAAAGAAAAGCACTTCCCATGAAAATTTAAGCATTAAAGACATAAGCTACCCGCAACAGGTTTTTCCATTGCAAGTGTTTCATAACATCAGACTCTCATCACATTTTTTTGTTACATTTGAAAGCATGAGAATATTTTAATCATTGCAATATGATGAAATCCCCCATTTTAAGTCCCACTGGTGATCAAGACAGAATTTCTCCTTACATTATTAGTATGATATAAAGTAGGCATGTAACAAGAATTAAGAAAAATATCAACTAGGGGATTATTGGTTAATCCAATTTCAAATTCTCCAAATTAACATCACATAAATTGTATGGCAGACAGTAAGGAGGATTACTTATGAAATTTTGGGAGTTGAAGGGTTAAGACACATATGGCAATCATGTGTACCAGAAAGACAGCAAATAGATATAACATTATACTCCAGTAAAGTGGAGTATTAATTAAACTCATTGAAATTGAGTTGACTTCATAATTCATATTTTAGTTAAAGAAATGTGCAATATCTCTTTACAAGGATGAAAAGGGAATGCCATTTATGAATTTTAAAATAGTAAACGTCAAAAATATGGAGATGGAATTAAAAAAACTACTAAAATATGGCATAACTATTCACTAAGGTTTTAATCAATAGCTGTCACACAGAGATGTAAAATATATAGGGTTTGTGAAAAAAACCGAGGCAATAAAAATTAAAGATTCAGGAGAAGCATATGATTTCAACTTGTTTACTGATATTCTCACCTGAATTCAATCTGGAATGAGAACTCTGCAAGACTTCTGTTTTATCTTGAATTGAAACATAAAATTCAATTATTTGCAGGCAGGTTAAGGAGGAAATTAAAGGAATGGATACATGTTACATAAAAAGAAACCCCTTACAATAAAATAAAACAGAAACATATTGCCTACAGTACATGTCTATGCTTCTGATTACAGCTATATATAATAAGTATTTTTTAAGTAGTTATCTACATATGTAAACCGATTGCAATATATGGTCATAAAAGCAATTTTGTTCAAACCTTCCTACTCGAAGGGTGCCTTGTGTATCAAATATATCAAGTTCAGTACCTCCAGAGTCACAAGCCGGGCTTTTGGGGCTACAAAATAATAAAATAATCAACGGGTTATGTAGGCCAATTTATCGAGAGTTAATTAATTATAGTTTCCTAAATTCGTATGAAAGTTTAAAATGTGCTTCACTTGTGCTATATGTTTGTCGTTCTTAATTACTAATGAAATTCCGAGGGTGTGACTCAATTACTTCAAAAGAGAATATCCAAGCAGGTTATAGAAATGGTTCGCGAATTGTAAACTGTTATTGTGATGACAAAATTTCCCTAAATTATGGTGCCGATACGAATCTATCATTCATAATCGCTTATGAAATTCCGAGACTGAACCTCAACGAATTTAACAGAAAATATCCAGGAAGGTTACAGAAACAGACTTTCCAAAACAGCTCTTGAATTCGAAAACTGTAAACAACAATTATTTACGCTAACCATGGGCTTACCAGGGCGCTTGTGTGGTCAAATTGCCAGAACCCCGTTTTATTGCTCGATCATAGCTCGGGCGCTTCTTGCAAAATGCGATCACTACCAATTTCAGAGATTAATTCTTCAGTTTCCAGGATAAGGAAAAAAATATCGTATCGCAAGCATGTTCATAATAAGGCCTCGAGATGTTGAGCGAAGAGAAAGTGGCTTCATGTTTTGTGAGACAAACCATTTCCTGAAGTTCGAACGAATGGAGTAGAAAGCATGAAAAGATAGCGCTGAAAAGTACGACAACCAAGCAATTAAGAGTAAATGTCAGTAAAAATCAAGGAAAATTCAAAAAACGTGGCCACGGTCAAAAAATCGATTGCGCTCATACTTTGTCAGTTTGAAGGCCTAGGTAAGTAACTGAAGGATATGAGGTTAGTTTTTTGAAATATTCCACATAACGGCAGAAAACCACGAAAAACGGTCACCCTACCGGAAGCTCGGATTTCACCTGGCGGAAACTCGAAATTTTACACTTTTCAGCTTCTCGCTACACAGACGTTTCCATAGCTGTGAATCTTTCTTAAGTATAATTGAATACATTGATTCTTCCTTAGTCAAACCATGGGAATTATTTTTATCTCTGCTTATTTGTGAGCGAACTGAGACCCGATTAAGAAGACACACTTTTCTCATTTACGCGAAGGTGTAAAATAATCCAAACTCAGCGACGAAAAAAGCTGACCGGTAGTTCTTCAAATCCTCTGATATTATAACCAAAGACAGTTCAGTCATTGATTTTTAGGTCTACGGTTTTAAATCTTTAGGATCTAGTAGCACTTTTGCATGAACGTCGATCAAAATTCGATAAAATTCCAATTGAGCGCCTTTGAAATCTACAACTCTACATAACAAAGCACTATTGAAAAAACATAAGGGTTTTGCTTTTTTAGCGGTTTGAAGCGTTTTAAAAATATATATTGATGTTAAATATTGGCTACACAGGTAAAACAAACTATGAAACACCAAAATTACCACGAGCTGAAATTAAATCTCACAGGCTCGCTCCCTAATCTGCGTCACGCACGAGCGACTTAGCTACAATTAGTACAGTAACAAACAGATATTTACATCCGTTGATTTTAAATAAGTCGTATTTTTAAAATATCTTACTCAAAGATGTGCCAGGTTTCCCAGTTAACTTGCTGAAAAAAAAAAGAAAACCTTAATAGTAATTCTAGCTCAATTAGAATTGATTTTATTTAGTATGAGAAGTTTTGTGCCGTCGAAAACCAATCGGAAGTAACTGTTTCCACGAAAAGCAAATATTGCATCGTTCTCTAAATAAACAAATCTACTTAACCATATAACCAGAGTATGTTGTTGGCGAAGTTAATGGACATACATAACAACGACGTCTTGCTCGTTCTTGAATATTCTCGGTGGAATTTGCGGCGCAGACGAACGCACTTGCTAAGTAACTTCCAATGGCTAATTTCTACCCTTACTCAGCTTTCGTCACACTGCTCACGCTGTGTAACAAGGATATAAAACATCGCACGAAGTCCTAAAAAACTCTCCGGACTTGAACCAGAATTGATTTTAGCAAGATTGCGTGTTTTTAAAAGCCAACGAGTTTATTGGAGATGACTACCCGTACCGTCTCATCGTGTCACTTAGGCATAAGCTGACACGATGTCGATAGTTTCGACTCCTGATGGCCGAGAGCACTCGGATTTCTTTTTTCCGAGTACGCCTGTGTCACTTACTGAATAATACATCATTCTCATTTATTCACCAGGCTTAAAAATATTCCATCACATTTATTCCATTGAGCGTATGCCACACATGACATTCCAATCCTAGCAGTATGCAGGATGTTTGTCCCATGAAGCACTCGGACTATACAGTGCAGCGCACTATACAGTGCACACACTAATATAATCGCAATCCATAAAAAAATGAGAGGCATTAAATA